ATTGTGACTAAATATAACGGCACTGTGATGTTCGGTATATACATGTATGCGTGCGTAGCATGCGTGTGCGTGTTGCGTGACTACGAGATGCGGCAACTACCGGGTAATATTTCAATTACGATATGCAACATCCGCCGCGCGGCGCGGTGTTCTCCATCGGATAACGTTGCCGATCGAGCCGATTATGATAACGAGGGGCTTGCAAGGTATGCTCGCACCAGGTTAAATCATCGACAGGCCGGCGATGATTTTTGCGACAGTGCGCTTGACGATGCGTAAAACGCACCGTCGGTGGAAGTTCTCTCTTCGTGGCCGATGAATTTCGGTAGAAATTGTCTCCTGTGTGTGCCAACGAATTTAAAATTGAGTATCTTTCGGCGACAGAGAACGACATGCTGTACACGCTGTATTTTCATTCGTTTGCGTACGTTGGACGTGCCGCGAACATCAATATCAAACTGGATGCAGATGAAATTCTTACAGATTCTATTACCTGAGTCCACGGGAAGGCCCACCTCTCACGTTACTAGTTAGTCCATGCAGCGGTCCTATATCTTGGACGGTCAGCTATGTAGAACCACCCGAAAACGATCAGGAAACAGAAGGTATAAAATACATTAAAAAAATTCTGCTTATTCTTATGAATTAAGAAATGTCATAAAATAAGAATCATTTTATTGCCTTATTAAAAGCGAACGATTTAAACGATTTTATTCTTAACGCAATCTGCTATTGTATGCAAATATTAAAAAAGTGTTACTTATAATCTCTTTACAAACATACAGTTTGTCTTTGAAATACTTATAATTATTACTTATAATTATTTCGGCGATAAATTATTAAAGACCAATGCACAATTTCAAGATTAATAATTTGAAGGCGCATCGAAAAAGAGAAACGCATTATATTTTACAAAGTAATATTTTTAATCATCTCGAGTGTGACAAAGTTCGGGCAAAATTGGAGTAACCCTTGGAGTTGACAAGTCACCCGAATGATTTCTGACTTAATTTACCACGCAGCGCAAACGCGATGGCCCGTGAAGACCCTGAAGCCGGGCTCTCCTCTTTTCACGTACGAGGGCGCGGAAGACCAAAATTTCACGATACCAAAAACGCGGGCCGGCCTGTATTGGTTCGAGATCAAATCCGTGGAGTCCGCAGGACGATCGCCCGGCACGGTGCTTTTATACGCAACATCCAGCGCCCTGGACCACGTCCCGGGCATGTATGCGAGCGGGAAGGAACATCGTCATCGCACGCTAAGATTTCAACAACGACGAAGTAAACGACGCCTGACGATATCTTGGAGCAAGAGGTATCACACGTTTATCATATCCTGTTCTCGCCTCGCTTTTGTAAATATACGAGATATTAAAAGTCGATTTGCTTCTTTTTAAATAAACAATATAATGTTCTGTTGAAAATTGAACTTTTCTTAAAAATGTATTACATCTATAATTTTCATATTAATATTACTTAGATTAGATTATTCTACAGATTATTCTATAGATTATTCGCATTTAAAAATAATACAGCTTATCGGCGATTTTGAACTTGAATAAAAAGTTATTTAAATAAATAAGTAAAAGTTCTAATGGAAATATAATTAAGAAA